TAGAAAAGATTACTTAATTGTGGCTTTAATACTGATTACTTTATTGTGGTGATATCACAGGCGCGCCGGGGTGTTGGCTTTTAAATACGCTTCTTTTCGGCCGTCTACAAAAGCCGTACTCGATAAAGAATGACTACTTAAGCAGTATGCATTTTCCACATCGATTTTCGATGCCCTCTTAAATTCAAAAGTGTCTTGCAGAAAACCTACACAAATCAGTCTTTCTTGTGCTCATTCGGTAGCAACTTTCACTTTCTTCAAATTTTGCGTCCGAAGAAAGAGTATCTTTTTCGGTTTTAAGGAGTTTTTTTCAATTTTAAAATTACTTTGGGCTCGCTCTGTCATTGCGTTCCCGTTTAGGATTTTTAGTCTACTAACTGTATACTTTCTGCATAACGAAAACCATTCATTTCTCTATTCGATTAACTAGATGTTCTTAAAATTTTGCGAGGGATTTGTAATATGTTGTATACCTTATGGTGAGTGTCATTGAACAGACATATATAATGCTATCTGAAAGGACATTGCACAGCCTTAAAAATATCATAGTTGGAAACTCTTTAAAACCGAAAGGTACCCTTTCTCCTAGCATAAAAGTTGAAAAAGACGCGATTTGCTACCACATTAGCACACGAAAGAATATTTTTGGGCATGTTTTCCGCAAAATATATTTAAATTTATAGGGACATCGGAATTTAGCAGAGAAAACGCCGCCTACTTAAAGTGGTCATTTTTTTGCCGACTGCAGTCATAGCAGGCGGTCGAAAAGAAGTGCATTTAAAGGCCAATATCCTGATGCGTTTGAAATATTACGACATTAGGCCACAAGTTAATCAGCATTGCAGCCAAACTTACAGTAGGTGGGCTAACTCATGAGATGTCAATCGCAATTCCTAAATGCGTTTTCGTTTCGAAAAGAGTAATTGGGCGGGCCTTTAAAACTAAGCATGCAACATAATTCTATAATATTTCAGTTACCTCAGGATGCCTGCCTTCGAAAGAACTTCCTTCCGGCTGCATGCATAACTACACTCTGTAAAAAAGGACTACTTAAGTGGCATGAATTTTTCTCATTTATTTTCGATGTCCCTAAATGTCCACTTATATTTTATGGAAAACATGCATAAAAATACTCATTATTTTATTCATTCGGTAGAAAATTACGTCTTCTTTTAATGTTATATTCTAAGGAAGGAAATAATTAGGTTTTCACAACGTTTCTAATTGTGGGGCTTTTAAATACAGTGAAATGGCCGTTCATGCATCGTCATTTCTCTGCATTTACCAATGTGGCTTGTGAAGTTAACAATATGGATCTAATCCTCTTCTAAATTTTATGAACCCTATATGGCCCCCCTTTATTACCGTAGAGAAATATGCGGTTGTCCGAACGTGAAAAATATGTGGCTTGCAGTTTTGAAATCCTGAATTTAAGTGCAACGGTAGAGCGGGTTCAAAATTATTCGGTAATTGGAGCTTTTGAATACCGAATTATACCCTTCCTTCCAGTATAAACCTGGAAAAAGACTTAATTATCTACGGAATGAGTAAAAGAATGAACATTTTTATGCATGTTTTCCATGAAATATAAGTGGACATTTAGGGGCATCGAAAATCAATGAGAAAAATGCATGCCACTTAAGTAGTCATTTCTTACAGAGTGTATTTTTTGCATGCAGCTGGATGGAAGTTCATTCGAAAGACGGCATCCTGCAGTAACTGAAATTTTATAGAATTATGTTGCACGCTGACTAGGCTGACAACCCTACTTAATTAATCTTTTCGAAACTGAAACGCATTTCGGAATTTCTGTTGAGATTTCATGGGGTAGCCCACCTACTGTTAGTCATCCTCCCTAATCGAATAGGCATTTAACATCTTCGATCAACATTGCATGAGATCGGTCACTGACTGTACACTTTTCGGCAATCAGTGGGTGTGTTCAGTATACTTGCACGGCGAATACCTGCGCATACACGCATGTCCATAAATTATGGCACTGGTGGATGCAGAGGCTGCGGGACGCCTTCTGCAGGTGCCTTCCGGAAATTTGCTGCACTGCTGAATTACCTAATAAGCCCTTGCTGTTTTTTTCCAGATTCAAGTTATGACACTTGCCAGAACAAAGCAGATAGGCGAGAAAAATTGCACTTTAAAAAACAACCACAAACACTCATTTTACAGCTCAACGTCTGGGAAGTATTCGCTTTCTGTGACCATCTCTTGCAACGACCGCTAAATTTGTTACTTCCCACCTCCCACCCGTCTAATATCAGTCCTTGCATATTTGCACGCCGTTTGGTATGCTGTGGGGCTGCGTCTCAGAACAAGCCAAACGCGCAAGATGATAAACAAACAAGAAATGCCAGTTGGATAGCGGGGAATTCGTTCTCCATGTGAGAGGGAGGCTCTGTGTCATAAGTCGCATGGCAACTCGTCGACCATGCGAAAATTACGGATTCAAAATTTTCAGAACAAAAATGGGCTCCATTCACTGTGGACAGAAAATAAGTTAATAAAGTACTCAAGAGTCAGAACGTTTACACAAAAAGCAACGACTGCTGTGGGGGGGGAGCAGTTCGAGTCTTAGCTTCTGTATTTCTGTGTCTTCACACGTAAGATAGGGAGCCAGGGATGGTAATACTGAATGTTGATATGCCGATGTACGACAAGAGATAAGTCGAAAGCCACGGTACATGGTGCGGGAAGACTTCGCAAAGATCAGTTCAGAACACAGGGGGTGGGCAACGTTATCCAGAGTTCGACCAGCAAATTGCTTGACCGTTTTGAAATGTCATTGTGAGATAATATTGACTAAGGGGAGATGAGAAACACCAGCAGCAGAATAGACATTTGTAGGACTCGTTTTAGAATTGCCCGTTTTTTGAACAAAGGAGGAAAAATGACAGGAGAACAATAAAGGATAAGAAAAAGAATGCAGGCATCTATGAATCGCCAGACTAAGGGTTGAGGTGTGTGGTAGGAACGTAAACGACGAATGCACTAAATAAGTTTACAAACTTTAGTAAAAGGGACTCAATATGGAGGGAAGATGAAAGATTTGAGGACAAAGAAGCGCTAAGGTACCTGAAAGAGGATACCTCGTTAGGAAGGATGTCAAAGGATTCAGGACTAGGAGAGGACCGCAGTGGGAAAACACACTGAAATGATTTTTGATTGCTCATTAGGAGACCATTTTTCAACGAGCATGGTGAGACATGGTCAAGGCCATCCTTCAGAGACTGAATATTCGTCTGATTTCTGAGAGGGCGGCAAACAACCATATCGTCAGCATACTTAACTAATAAACAGTCGTTTGGGGATCTTAGATCATTATTGTAGAGGGAAAAGAGGTGAGGGGATAAAATGGAACCTCCGCGCGAGGCGGAGCACGCGTGTGTCATGCGCTGACCTGTGTCCACCTACGTCGTCCCCTGCGGCCACACCAGTCCCCTGTCCTCGCCGCTGAGAACAGAGGATGAAGCGGATATTCTACGCCGACGTAACTTACTCTAAACTAGTTAACATACAATGACAGTCTTCACCCACCACTGCGGACCGACTATCAATCCTATTGTAACTGAGAGGCGAGATCTGAGTTCACTAGAATAACCATTTTTTTCTCATGACGCTACAGAATTTCCCTCAAACCCATTAACAGAGACAGTCATACATGACGGCAGTGGACGTACAGTGCGTGACCGATCTGATGAAATGTTGGCCCAAATTCTGAAATGCCTTTTCGTTTAGGAAGGGTTACTCAGGTGGGGTTGTAATGTGGCTTATCAAGCGACAACATCCCATAGTATTTCGGACTCGGTAGGATGTCGGCTTTTGGATGCACTTCTTTTCGACGTCCTATAGAAGCTACACTCGGCAAAATTGACTGCTTGAGTAGCATGAATTTTTCCCATTAATTTTCGATGGTTTTATAAAATCAAATATCTGTTTTGGAAAACACGCACAAAAATGTGCTTTCTTTGGGTTTCAAAAACGTTTTTAATTATGAGATTTCTAAGACCGTACTATGTCCATACATACAGCGTCGCACATCTCCGTTTACCAATGCTCCTCGTGAAACGTACAACATAGTCCACATTCATTTCAAAATTTTATGAACTCAACATGGTATCTTCTTAAGAGCATAGAAGAATATATTATTGGAGAATTCGGAAACTTTTTCAGAACCTAAATATGCGCTTTTTTCGGATATAGAATGTAAGGACAATGTTGTCTCCTAACAAAGTAGCTAAAGAAAGCATTTTTTGTGCACGTTTTCTGCAAAAATTATTCGAATTTATAAGACCATTGAAAATCAATTCGGAAAACATATGCCACTTGTATTAATTTTTTTTACCGAGTGTGGCCTCTATAGGACGTCGAAATGAAGTACATTCAAAAGCCGACATCCTATCGAGTCCAAAATACTATGGGATTTTGTCTCTTGATAAGACACATTACAACAACCGCCTAAGTAATCCTTCCTAAACGAAAACGCATTTCAGAATTTGGGCCAACATTTCATCAGATCGGTCACGCACTGTATAGGCGGTGCGGTATGTGTAGGGTGCAGTTACCATGCCATCACGTATCTACCATGATTATCGGCGCCTGCATTCATCGTCGATGGTCGTACTTGGTGTGACGATGGCCTGCTGGCACCCACCAGAGCGTTAGTAGCACCAGTTCCATGACCCGGCTGCATTAGTGACGTGATAATCGCGACAATTAACGACACAAATGCGGGCGCAAAACAATCATCACGCCCAGCGTGACCATCGGCAGGGTACTACTACGGAGTTGATAATTACGGTAAGTATGTAGTCGCAGGACGACCGGCGTGTACTTCTATTGGCGAGGCGTTCGCCTTACAAGTTCGAGTAGGGAATTCGCTAAAACTGACAAACGCTGTGCTGTGCCCTGTATATCATTTTCCTTAACCAAATCTCCCCTGCCTTGGTTTGCAGTTGGTTCCGCACCCACGCTCTTGAGAGAAAAAAATGCGTGTTCTTCACTGGTTTCGCAAGGGATTACGTCTCCATGACAACCCGGCACTTCTCGCTGCGTTGCAACCCCCGGCGTCCAGACGAGACGGCGGTGCAGCTCCAGTGGAGCTGTTGTTTGTTTACATACTTGATCCCTGCTTGCCCGATCACATGGACATGGGGTTTCGACGCTGCAGCTTCCTCTTGGAGTGCCTCCAGACCCTGGACAAGTCACTCGCCAGCATGAATCCCGAATTTCGTCTGTTGACTCTTCGCGGACGTCCGGAAGAGGTTTGTGACCTTTCATGTTTGCTCTCCGCTAGCCCTGGGAACCTTAGCGTTCGAGGCTGTTTCCTCAGCCCCGGTTGAAACCAGTCAGTCCGATGCCTCCCTTATCTTGAACCCTCAGACATCACTGGGCTGAATTATATAAATAAGATTATACCACTCCCACCGACTCCCTCTGGTCTGCCAGTGCCCTCCACATTTCTCGTCAGTAAATGACGTCACATGGCTGCGTCAACTGCAACTGCAGCAGTTTTGAGGCAACAGTCTATTAGCGCTCATGAAATCATATTATGTCCTCTAACGACTGGTTTGGGTTGGAAAATGCCTTTCCGTTCTGGAACATTCATACAATGGCTGCGTTGAAGACGGAGTGGGGGGCGTCCCGTTCTCCCCTGCGGCTCAGGCCTAAAGTCTACACAGGCGGTCGCACAGCGACCGGAAGTCCATAACTCGAGAAGAGCATTACCAACGCATACTAGACTTGACGTTTCTGGCCCATTTTCCGTCGTCATTCAGTCTCGCTAGCCCCATACCCTCCGCTGTGTTTCTGCCCGCGTGAGCTCTAGACTGGGAAGAACGAAACGTCCTTATTTCGTCCCGAGACCAGAGTGAATCGATGAGCGATATGTTCGTGTGACTTTGAGTAGCCGGTTGAAAACGGGTATAAGTACCCCCAATTAGATGTGGCTTTGAGCTAAATTCCGGGACGGTAACTATTTCCGTGTTCTAACTCTAACCCTAACTTCAAACCTGACGTTAACCAGCCACTAATAATACCGAATTTTCTTAGTTGCGAACTCTAGGACATTACTTCGTGGACCAGTGGTAGAAATTTCCGCTAAGTGTTTATGAACAGTGAGCTTAGCCAATCATTTATGTTCTCTGTGAATGGTGCTCTTGATTGCCCCTTTGCCAGTCCCAGGCGAAATAATCAATGAAAATAAGGTTAGGGCAATGGTGGAAGGAGCGCTCACTGATCGCTCTTACGGAACTCACACATCCCGTTATGCCTTACGGGCTGTCTCTCTCGAGCCCAACCAGCAGCCGCACAGCGGCGCATGATATAGGCAGAGTGTTATTACCGAGAAAGACAAGGGAGACTGGAATGGCTATTTCTGGCTCATTAGTCGTCGTCAGCCAGTTATACCCAACCTCGAAGTGTGGAACACCTGAGTCTCGATCCCGCGGCCTGGTAGTTAGAAGTCCAACGCCTCTAACCACTGAGCCACGGGCTCTTTGTTCTGTCGGTTAGGACAAGTCAAATACATAAATATAGTCCTCTTCCCGATCAGTACCCTAAATATTTTCTGTACACGTCTAGGCCGCTCTTTTGCGATCGGCTGTCGAAGGCTGGGGATAGCCGGCGCTGTGGAAAATGGATCTATGGATCCCGTTTATTTCGTCACTCTAAAGTCCTTATCTTGTTATTTACTGCATTTGCTACCCGTATCCACTTCAACTGGCTTCATGTTGGTGTTTTCAGGTCACGACAATATGGCGTGGATGAAAATCCTATGGACCTAGAGACTAAGATGTTGGGAGCGTTTTTGCGATATTCACATGACTCCCCAAAGCCCAGTGGTCGGCGCCTTCCTACCGAGTCTAAATCACTGATAGCGGACGTTGATACTTTTTTTTGAAATCAGACTTCTGCGATTGTTTTTTTTGCTGGTCAGTTTACAAAAAAGGAGGTTACCGGAGCAGACGCTTGAGCTGTTGACGTTTCGGAGATCTTGGTCGACTCATCATTGGGAGAGCGTTTGGTGCACAATACCTTTCATAAATGCTAATGGTTTGCCTTGTGCTGATGTATTCTCCTCCTCCTCCTCCTCCTCCTCCTCCTCCTCCTCCTTCTCCTTCTCTTTCGCTGCCTCGGGCATTTGGCGGACTTTTAACGGGTCTCACGGTTGAATCATCACCTCGATGGAAGACGACTGAGCCTCTGCGGAGGCATTTCGATCTGAAGGCTCTCTTGCCGCACCCCCGTCAGGTGACTTCGTTGTCGGGTTGTGTTTGCGCGGCTTTTCTCTTAGCCCAGTGTGGTCTTTTGTTCCTACCTTTGCTTTTGTCAGTACGGAGGACTTTATAAACCGTAGGCAGCTCCGGGCGTCCGTCGACGGAGTTGACATCTGCACACCACGCCCCAAGTGTTAGTCATTTTGCCATTGAGTTACCCCCACCTCAGATAGTCGCTCCCTGAAGGCCAAAGGTATGGCTAGTTTCCCCCAGTGTGAATTGCCTCCGCGGTACCAGTTTGCGCTTTTGTGATTAAAAAACTCCCTTCTCGGCGAGTCCCTTCTCTCTCTGTCCCTCAAATTATCACGTCGGATCTCTCAATTTTGCCAACGTGCGAAAAAGTCGCACATAGAGGAAGGAAGAGGCCGTGAATAGAGAGAGGTAAACGGGAAGCAATAACGAAACGGAGGTAAATAAGAATGCCGGGGGGGGGGGGTGAAGAACGAAGCTGCCAGATTACGACGCCGCGATCGATTCTCCTGACCTCCCCGAGATTGCTTCAACCTCTTACCTAATGCACTCTGTCTAATGCTTGTTGAAGTCACCTGGAGACCTCAAGCCCCCTAACGCCTTGTTCTTTTGAGGCTCCCCTAATTTGGCAAGACATTTGTACTTCCTCCAAGATTGAAGGAAACCTGTTTGCTCAAAGACTTTGCGGGCCCTCGTGAGTATTTTCTGTTTTCATCCGAAATTCCTTTAATCCCAGGTACTGCCGAAAGCCTGCCTAGCCTGGGGTGTCGAACACGTCACCTACGAAGTGGACACTGATGCCTACGGCAGATCACGTGACACAGCAGTGCGCGACCTGCTCGCCCAATCCAATATCAGCGTCAGCGAGCACAGCGGCCACACTCTGTGGAACCTAGACTGGTTGCGCTCTAAATACACCGCTCCTCCTGCTCCGCCGAAGAGAACCACTGAGAATGGCGACGGACCTACCAACAGTACTTCCTCCCAACAGTTGGGCGTTCCTCTGACCTACCAGAGCTTCTGCGCCCTAACTCGTCGAGTTGCACCTCAAGGACCGGCTCGTCCTCTGCCGAGCTTTGCGGAGTATGTCAGCCAGGGGATTGTGTCGAGCCCAGACCTGGAAGGCCTACGGGGAAGCTTTCCGGACCTTGGGTGTAGTCTCGGCGCCCCTGCCACTGTAGCTGACATGGATATCGGTCCAATACACTACAGCCGGGTTGGTGAGGACTTGTTGGACTCAACGGCCGAGAAGCAAGGACTCCTGTTTCCAGGCGGAGAAGCTGAGGCTCTGGAACGACTTCGTAGAACGGTAAGTTTCCTCTCCAGCAGCAACCTTGAAATTTTACCGAGTTTTGTTTTCGACCTGCAAAATCCTCCGGCTTTTAAATTTGCCCTTTTGTTGTTGAGGCCTGAATGAACTTACCCTGCCACCTTCGCGGTTTAAATTCGTCGTCGTGTTTTTGTTGAACATATTGGGCAAAAGATGGCCGGCAACTGACAACAGTGCTGCAGTTGGCCAAACGAATGTCATTTCTGGCCATGCCAGAGAACCGACCCCATGCGGTGCGTTCGTCCCCCCCCCCACAATTCGACATGACCGAGTTTGTTGTAAACAATCTGCTCCGCTGACCCCGGATTCGAAGTGGCCGCTGCACCGGTGTGTGTGAGAGAGAGCCAGTCTCCGGTACAGGAAACGCCCTCTCCAAGTGTTGCTGGTTCTGATTTTTCCCGCAAGGTTGTGTGTGATGCACCCAATGTGAATTAAAGTCCTTGGCGCACTTCAATGGCACTTATTTAATGGTCTGTCACCAGAATGATTGTGTAGTACACACTTAGTCGTAGCACGCATTTTCGCACGCTCTAAATCAAGTGGATCAGGTTTTCTATGCTTTAACCGGCGAAGTCCCCTTGCATACCACTCCGCGTTGGATAGATGGCGATGTATGTGTTGCTGGGAGGAATCATGGCAAGTGGGCTTTCCTGCAACTTACCTTCGTGTAGAGATGTGGAAGTGCTCTGAGAAGCGTTTGCTTAGCAGGCGGAATTGCGGCTTGGAAGACTTTGCTTCGACTGAGGACCGTGCCCCAGACTACGACCGACGTCACAAACATTTGACTACTGCCAAACTTTCGGAGTACTTTTCGCCAAACGTCTTACTACTTGTGCCAAATAAACTCAGACTGACAGTTTTCACTTCAGAGGCAGCTGTGCCATCGCATTCGGCTGTGAAAACAACCGTTGTCATCTTCAGATGACCGATGTAAACGGTGGCTCGCCCCAAAACTCCAGGTTCCGTTCTCTTCTCTCACTTAGAACTTTTTCCCATCTATGACTAAGTTTACCGCGGCCATGAGACCGACGGCGCCGTCCCTCTTCAGCACTAAGTAACTGTTCTCGACTTCATTTGACATCGTCTATTCTCTGCTTGGGCGAGTTCGTGTTAAGTAACTGCTCACGAGAATTTTTTGAAGCCTGTTCGAAATCACTGTGGAGCTCTTTCGGTCGGATCTTATTTCGCAGCCGTACCTGTGGTAGACAGGCCCCAGCCTAACCCCTAACCTTAATCCCTTACCCTGACCCCTTACCCCAAACTCTAACCCCTGACAGGTACGGCTACGAGATGGGATCTTGCCGCTTCTTTCTTGTTTTTGTTTACGAAGCGTAATTTTAGAAGCCGTTAGGGCTCAAAGACACTATCTAGGCACGGGTTCTAATTATGAATGATCTGTAGTCTTAGGTTACCTGATCAATGGTCTGCGCGTTGTGTGGGGCGTCCAGAGACGCAACTCTGATAGTTATTCGAAAGGTCTAGCTGCTTGGGGTGGGTCTCCCTTGCACCTGGCCTTCACCTATGGCTCTACAACAGCTCTCTCTTCATAAACCAACTGGCGCGCATCTTCGTCTTCTGACCTGTTCTTTGGAACTCGTCTCTCCGCTCCTATCGACAGATTTAACTGCAACCCTTTAAATGACTAGTAACGCCAGTCTTCTCCCTGCTATAATCCAGGTTTTGGCTCTCTCACTCTCCTCCCTTCTTCTCCTTCTCCTTCTTCTTCTTCTTCTTCTTCTTCTTCTTCTTCTTCTTCTTCTTCTTCTTCTTCCTCTTCTTCTTCTTCTTCTTCTTCTTCTTCTTCTTCTTCTTCTTCTTCTTCTTCTTCTTCTTCTTCTTCTTCTTCCTTTATTAAGATTTCTTCTCCTCCAATGCCCAAAAGAAAACTACGCACTTTGGTAGCATGTGCTTCTGCCGAAATGTCTCGACTTTTTTTCCAAACTTATTTGACATTATGTTTCTTCTCTCCCCTCGTCCACACTCCAGGTTACTGAACGACCAAGCTGGGTGCGTGGCTTCGCGAAGCCGGCCACCGCGCCCACTGGTCTGCCGATTTCTACTACAGGGCTCAGTCCCTACCTGCGTTACGGGTGTCTTTCCGTACGCACCGCCTGGTGGGCCCTGAGAGAGGCTAGGAGAACCGCAAAGACCCCCGCCAGCGCCTCTCAACCCCCGGTGTCTCTGCATGGACAGCTCTTGTGGCGCGAGTTCTTCTACCTGGTCTCTTCGGTCACACCAAACTATGATAAGATTGTGGTAGGTGTTCTGCTGTCTTCAGCGTTCGCTTCTATCCGTTTTTTTCCATTTGGCTGTCAGAGGACCTTCATAAGCTGCCAAGGTCGTCTGCGGTTTATCAGCGGGTGAGGCAGTCCGCAACGCTGATTCTCTGTGATCGGCTGCAACCTCGCAACGTCCCGTCCGCCATGATAGGTGTCTACCTCTGGCTATAATATGTTAAGGCGACTGTTCGTGCACGCAGGCATAACGTCTGTACATTATTCTTATGGCAGATGCCGTAGGTGGGCTAACTCATGAAATGTCAACAGGAATTCCGAAATGCGTTTTCGTTTCGAAAAGACTAATTAAGTGGGGTTGTAACACTAGTCAGCCTGCAACATAATTCTATAATATTTCGGTTACCGCAGTATGCCGGCTTTCGAATGAACTTCCTTCCGACGGCATGCAAAAACTACACTCTGTAACAAAGGACTACTTAGGTAGCATGTATATTTATCTCCGATTTTCGATGCCCCTAAAAGTCCAATAAGATTTCATGGAAAAAACGCATAAAAATATTCATTCTTTCGCTCATTCGGCAGATAACTACGTCTTCTTTTAATTTTATACTCGAAGGGAGGGTAGAATTCCGTTTTCAAATTCTTTTCCAATTCCCGTATAATTTTGAACCCGCTCTGCCGTTGCACTTGCATTCAGGGTTTCCAAACTACAAGCCGTATATTTTCTGCGTACGGGAAACTACACATTTCTATGGGGTTCATAAAATTTGGCAGTGGATTTGATCCATATTGTTAACTTTACAAGCCACATTGGTAAATGCAGAGAAATAACGATTTATGAACGGCCATTTCAAGGTATTTAGAAGTCCCACAATTAGAAACTTTTTAAAACCGAGCATAAAATTAAGAGAAGACGTAGTTATCTGCCGAATGAGCGAAAGAATGAATATTTTTATGCGTGTTTTCCATGAAATCTTATTGGACTTTTAGGGGCATCGAAAATCGGAGAGAAATATTGATGCTACCTAAGTAGTCCTTTGTTACAGAGTGTAGTTTTTGCATGCAGCCGGAAGGAAGTTCGTTCGAAAGCCGGTATCCTACGGTATGTGAAATAATATAGAATTATGTTGCAAACAGATTAGTTTCACAACCCTACTTAATTAGTCTTTTCGAAACGAAAACGCATTTCGGAATTCCTGTTGACATTTCATGAGTTAGTTCACCTACAGTAATTACGTTGGTGCCTTGACAAGCAAAGGCTTTACTGGCGTCTTTAAAACGAAACCTGAACTGAACTGGAATAGCGACGAAAATCCGATCAGAACATACTGGGTCTGCTGAAGAAGATGAAGGTTAATCGCTGATGACGCATGTCTTCTCTTTTGAATTCCCGATCTGGTCAAGAAGTAAGTGAGACAGCGAGAGCAGCGTGGAGCGGTTTCCTCGATAGGGAAGAATGGCCCCTGGAAGCGATTTATTATATTGCTGAAGGTTCGGCGAGTTTGGTTGACTCACCCTTGGCAAAGTGTCGAAAATCCGAAACCCAACAGAATTCTAAATTCCGCAAATATTCCCGTGTTACACTTGAAGAGTCAAGTTGGCAAACACGTGGTTTCGGTAATTCTTCGTCAGGCCAATACAGTTACATGGAGGAATGAAAGTGTACAATATTAACTGTGTTTTCAGGTGTCTCAAGGGCTATTAAGTCATTAAAAGTCATCTTCCCCACGTCACCCGTATGACAAGGTCGGCGCGTTTTGGTCCTCAGAGCTAGGGGAGGGGGTAAGAGAGTCTTTGAGTGATGCTCTTGGATTGATTTTTATGGGCAAAGTCGAGAAAACAAGATCGCACGACACCATTAATGGCCTCGTCTTCTACGGTCGGTACGTGGACGATATCTTCTGCCTGGCGGATGGTACCACCGATACCGAGGACCTTGTCCACAAGTTCAACAGTGCGCACCTCTCGCTAAAGCTCACTGCAGAGGCCGAGGCAGATAGCGAAATTGCCTTTCCCGATGTCCTTCTGCAGAGGCAAGAGGATGGGTCTATCCAGCGCAGGGTGTTCCGAAAGAAAACCTGGACGGGACAATACCTTAATTTCCACAGTTCTGTTCCCCTAAAAATCCAACGAAATTTAGTCCAGGAATTGGCGGCTAGAGTGAGACACATCTGCCCACCTGAAGCTATTGAAGCAGGGCTCCAACAGCTGCGGAACACACTTCGGGAGAACGGCTACTCAGATAGATTTATCCTCGGAAATATTGGGGAACGCGCTGCAAAGCCCTCTGTTGCGACTGCGGAAAAGAAAGAGGTATTCCTAAGATTGCCTTTTGCAGGAGACGCAGCGAGCGAGCTAGTCAGACGGCGCTTAACTACAGCTATCACGAGGGCATTCTCCGCGGCAGATTTACGCGTATGCTTCATAAACTCTTCCCTCCTACGTTTGGGAGGTAAAGACAGACTACCGTTGGGGGCCACACCAATGTGCATTTACTCATTCACGTGCTCCTGTGGAGCGGGATACATCGGCCGTACAACGAGACGCCTGGTAAGGAGGGTGCATGAACATATGCCCGCCTGGCAGACAGACGTGAGACCCGACCGATTTCGAGTTCTATTCTCGCACATTTAATCGATACGAATCACCGAGTCGATGCCAAGGGAACATTTCAGGTTGTTTACCGGACACCAACATGCTTCTCTAAAGGCCTACTCAGTGGCTATACGGCCGGCGAATCCGGTGTTATGCTGTCAGAAAACCCTGACACAAGCGCGCTCTCTCTGCCGTGGCCAACGCCAACCCTAAATGATGGCGACATGCCGCCTCCAATCCGTGTACTCAATCCAAGGACATCACTCAAAGACTCTCTTACCCCCCTCCCCTAGCCTTGAGGACCAAAACCCGCCGACCGTTCATGCGGGCGGCGTGGGGAAGATGAGTGTTAATGACTTAATAACCCCTGAGACACCTATAACCACTGTTGATTTTGTACATTTCCATTCCCTCATGTAACTGTATTGGCCCGACGAAGAATTACCGAAACCACGTGTTTGTCAACTTGACTTTTCAAGAAACTGAAGTGGTTTGTCTCAACACTGGGCCTCTCGCGAGTGTCTGCACGTACACACCAGGGCTGTCTGACATTCGCCATGCGGCTCTCCAGCTGGCCAATCAGATTCAAGGTCGAGTCAGAGGTATTCTGACGTAAGACGCTTTGGCGCACCCCCTCACACACTTTGCGACGCCGATCACGTGGACGTGCCCCCGCCCGGGTGGCAACTCTACCTCCAACCCCTTCAGTTATTCTGTACAGGATATGTTTTCCTCCTTCTCTTTCCATTCGGAACTGGGCCTGAAGGTCGTGGTAGCCAGGGTCTCACTCGCGGCATAGCCTATCTGTGATCGGTTTTTCTAGCTAGCCTGCCTTGGGCTAATCGATGTTTATTCTTTTGCTACTGCTTCGGACTTTTTGCGGAGGCCTGGTGGAGGGATGCCTGGTGCGTACGATAACTGCCTGCGCGGCTGGTCCTCATCGCGATCGAAGGCAGTTGAGCTTTTGTGTACGCGGTCTGATCTGGTGACCTCTCCGCTGAGTTGACGATTTCTGTTCACGTAGACGTCTCTGTAATTTTCGCTCAGTTTTCTCGACGTATTTTTAGTCCCTATATGTTGTTCCATCTTTATGTTGCATTACGCGACAGCACACTTTGACCCGTGATCTATAGGTCATATCTATCCTGGCAGATTGTAACAGTCAAAAACCCGTCTCTGAGACTCCTTTAATGTAGGGAATGGTACACTAGGCCTCGAGTTTGGCATTTTAGCCGTCGGCTGTTTGTTCGCTGCTTGCTTTGTTCTGTAACATAGCTCTTGGAAGTTATGGCGGTGCGGTCGTTCAGCTCTATTTGTTGGCGTTCTACACTGTGTTTAAATTCCCTGGAATAGCGTGCTGAAATGTAGTATTTGCCTTTTGTGTTGGGTGGCTTTTTTGAAAACTGTAATTTACGGTTGTCCACCTGCGCCCATGGTAGTCGATGAGGCGGTTTCTTGCTCATTCCAATCAGTTAGCCACCACTGTTGGAAGCCTGGCGGGAGGACCTTTGTTTGGAATGGCATTACCGACAAAGGCAAGGGAGACTGGAATGGCCATTTCTGCCTTATTAGCCGTCTTCAGCCAGTCATACTCAACCCCGAAGTTTGATTCTGTTTGCAGGCTGGTTAACCGTATTCTCATCAAATCTAAGATCGTCGAACACCTCTGCGCATATATTATTCCTGTCCGGCAATTATGTTCACAGCTGCGAATTCGCCCTGCGAGTGTATCAGGGCTCCCGATCATATAGCCAGGTTGTTTTTACACATGCATGATTCTAACTGTCATCCAATTACTAATCTCCGGGACCCAATTAGCTTTGTACTTCTAACGACACATCTATGATGGGCATCCTGATCACTTAGGCCCTTGGCAGCACACCTAACGACCCGTAAAATGTGTTTCTTCTTACGCAGCAAAATGTGAGGTCTGAGCGAACATGGGGATATGTGATTACGGAGTTTGTCGGATAGATTTCCATGCAACATTCCATCCGACATCATTTCTGGCGTCCCGCAGATTTTTGCAGTGAGTGTGGGTGCCTTTGAAGGGCACTCTGCCATATCTCCACTCGCGCGTCCAATTTACCACTGAATTCCATTTAGGTAGTTTTCTCTCGGATCCTGCCAAGCCACGATATTTTGGTTGTATGAGATAAATATCAGGCAGCATTCCAGTTTTGCAAATGTATAGGGCAGGTAGTCGTCACGACTATCGTTTCTTACTGCGAAGCTGCTGTTTCCAAATATCGGAAGTATTTTTAAATTTAGCACGAGAAGAATGTGGGCTTAGAGATCGCTCTGTCAGACATTGGCACCTTCCCTTAACCCGTCATCACTTTGAACACTGCAGCCTGTCACTTTGAGAACACAGCTACTCCTCAAGCACCTCGGTGACATTTCGTGAGCCCTGCTTGCAACCCCTTGAAAATCGGTCTTTCGCTGCCTTTTATTTTGGCCTGTTTTGTAGATTTCAACACCTCCGGAGCAGTTTTAAATCGCATCGAAATAGTCGGTTTTTAAATATCCCCAGAAATTGACTGCTAACTCGAAGTAAAGATGCAGGCCGACATGTGATCAATGGATATTAGTGTGGAAGTCCACTAGCCACAGCGGATAACCGCGTAATATTCATTAACTGCCGACAGACATCTAGTAGTATATTTAAGCGTTACAAGATACCATACTAGCAGCACAGGTACTAGCCAAAAGCCCAAACATTCGTGTTTCGCCTGTATTCTGCCGCTGTATGGCCCAGCTGCGAGGGATTCGGCTCTCCGGTGCCCCTCCCCGTGTGTTTTCTGGTGGATACTCTAGGTTAGAAATTGTTGGTTCTTACTTTCCTCAGAAATTAACTGCTACCTTGGAGTAAATCAGTTTGCACTAAGGCCTATAAGCACAGACCGGCTGAGGAGCCGAACCCCTCGTAGATGTGTAATGCAAAGGTAAAATGTCGGCGAAACACGCGTGCTTGGGCTTTTAGTTAGTACCTATGCTGATAGTATGTTATCCTTTAACGCGATGAAACAGTCCAAATATTTACAGGCTTTTAAAAATAACCTTATACATTGAATTATTCGTTCGCGATTAAGAGTAGCGTCGTTCTTTTCGGTTAAACTCGCACTGAAAATAGAAGCGAGGAGACAAATCCCAGGAAGCAGTCTTGAAGAAGGAGACACGATCGCTGGGACAAGAGCTTTATTAGCCTGACGTTTCGGATTCCTGCTCGAGCCCATCATCAGAGACGACAGCAGATACGGGTGCTTCAAGCACAAGGGGCTGCAGTATTTGTAGGATGCAGTCGCCATACTACCGCACACCTGTGGATATTTACGGCTCCCCCGTTCATCCAGGATCGTCACGCTTGGGGTGGTAATTGTTTGATGGCCGACACTCTCGTCGTTAATTGCTACAATTTCATCACGTGCGTTGAATGCTAGTGTGATGATTGCTTGACCATCTGACCCACCATCTCAGCACCGAGTGCGGAAGGGGAAGTTCATCGCACTTGTTAATGGACCGGGGGCCAGTAAACCATGATTCAAGTAGCTGCAGGCCCACGCAGTTGTCACCTCTAACGAGAATTTCGGCCTCGTAGAATTTGAATGTATGGCCAGATCTCGTCGAATGAGCCGCAACTTGAGAGCTGGCGTCATTTCTCCGCACCGCTGCAGCGTGTTCGGCCATTCTCGTTCGGATCTGTCTTCCTGTTTCTCCGACGTAGTTGCTTTGTCCGCAACTGCACCAGATCCGATAAACGACTTCAGGCGTTTCTAGCCGTGGCAGCGGGTCTTTCAGTTTCATTACCTGACGCCTTGTGCATGAACCACCCGTATCTGCTTTGTCTAGATTGATGGATTCGAGTGAGAATCCGAAACGTCAGGCTAATAAAGCTCTTATCCCAGCGATTGTGTCTCCTTCTTTAACCTCGCACTGCCAGGACGTTTCATGAAGTTCAGCTCCTTGGAGGTTGTAAACGCTCGATAACTGCTTCCGGCAAAAACGAGGCAATATTGCTAAGGAGGCCGTCTTTAATTCCCAAATGTCTTTGTGCCGGGGGACGTTGGAGTGTGTGTGTGCGCGGTCTGGGATAACGGCAACCGGATTGGCAATGGAGAGCGTGGGAAGGATAGGATAAGCGATAAACAGTCGGGGTGTGGAAGGGGAGGGTGATACGCAATGAACATCATCGTGGGCGTGGGGTCGTCAGATCTGTGAAGGGAGTCGGGTTTGGGGGGGGGTGGGGGGTGATGGAGACCAGAAGGAACTAGCTAGGGCATGCCAAGCACGATAATTGTTGAGCCGCAGTGAATGTTGGACGCACGACACTGGATGGTTGGGAGATGAGTGAGGGGTCCGTTCGGGGTGGGGGCGGTCAGGGGTTATTTTGTGTGGACTTAATATCAATGCCAATACAAGACCGAGCACTCGTGATCCACCCGCTTGCACAGCTCCGACTTCATTGGTTCTTATTACTGCTGTCCTAGGGCAGTGTACCAGACGGGCTGTCCATGCGCGGTAGGCGGCCCTCAAAGCGAACGCTAGATTCACAGTGCGAACTGTCCCCTGACAAGTGCTTCGGAACTGAACTTCCGAGCATTTTCCGTCCTCAAGAATCTCGTTCCGGGTTGAACTGGATTATAGCTACCCCCCCCCCCCCTGAAAATGCCGTCCACGTTACTTGTCATCTGGGCTACGTGGAATCGAGGTTCTTTGAGCGTGCACGAAAACAACCAATTCGATTTTCCTCCTCCTTCGGTCGTCATGCCCGACGATGAGGGAGGCACAGTGACTTGTTCGTGGATAAGTTTAAAGTGATAGTGGACTTTCTCTGCAACTATCGCACTCCCTCCTCCTCCCAACCTGGGCCCGGTGTGAGGACATAGTCAAGGAGGTCAGAGGTGGGGGAGGGCGCAGGTAGCTCGCACGACTGGACCTGCACCTAGACGTGCCACTGCCCTTTGGTCACAACAACCACTTGACCAGGATTTTAACCAACAACAACAGCACCACAACGGACCAGAAGGATGACTAGGATGACGTTACGCAGCCATACTCACGACCTGTATACCCCGTTCGAGCTCAAACGCATCCACCAGCAGGGAACCAGGCGCCAGAGAACTGCTGATTCTGGCATAGCAGACGCCTAAAATCCTTCAGGACTGCGCTGTACAGCACATACGGTACACTTGTTCTTATGTAGGCTGTAGTTTGGCACAGAGCTGAGCCATGGCTCCTACTTTTCCTCCTCCCAGGTGCCTCTAATGGTACAAACATTCTCACGAACACTAACGCTTTACAGGTGGTCTGGAGAACTATTTCAGGGGAGTTCGGAGAGTGTAGGTGGTTCAACCCGCGTTGTGTGACTGACCAATTTTCTTTGCGAGTGGCCAGTGTACTTGCATTCACAATCGCGACAGAACAGGCACACACTGTCGCCAACCCCTGACCAACTGAAGGCGTCCTGTCTATGCGCGCCACGTCTACTTGTGCTGGCGAGTTTGCATGTAGTTACTAGTGCAGGTATGTTGGACACCCCCCCGAAGAGAGTTGGCAAATTGTTCAGCCGAGCGCATGTCATGGTGACTCATGGTGGCGGAGCTTGCTCCGTAGTCCGGCCGCAAAGCGCCTGTCAGGGGCAATTCGCACTGCGAATCTAGTGCTCGCTGGGACGTTGTCGTGCAGCGGCGGCCAACGAAATCGGAGCTCTGTAAGCAGGTGAATCACGTGTGATCAACCTTGCGCTGTCCTGATATCAGTTCCACTCAAAATAGCCCTCAGGCTTCCCCTCGCCGCCGGCCCCCTTATCTATACCCCAACCACCCAGTGTCGTGCGCCTACTATCTTAGTTCATCACTTATCGTGTTTGGCTCCCCCCGAACACCACGTTCCTTCACTGATCCGACGCCTCCCCATACCCATGATGTTCGTTGCGAGGCGTGCCGTCTCTCTCTCTTCCCTCCCCCTTATAGAGTTTATCGTTCATCCAACTCCTCCCAAGTTTTCTGTTATCCCTCATGATTCATATTGACCCAGCTGTGAAAAACTCGGCGCCTCGGTGGGATTCGAACCCACGCAGTAAGGGGAAGGCTTTAGTACAGCCAACGCTTTAATCACTTGAGCTACGAGGCCCCGCCGGACGACGCGAGTTTAATCACATTTGGGTCATGAAGCAGTTATCCAAGGGGGTGTAGCAAATTGATGGCGTCAATAAATGTGGCATCCGTCGCCAATTTCGCGTCATGCGCATTCCTTACGAGAGAGAGAGAGAGAGAGAGAGAGCGGGGGGCAGGATTGTTTCAAACACGCGACAGACTGAAGTGATCACTTCTGGCTTGTTACCATCATGGACGTTCAACTGAAATTTCTCGACGGCTACGTTACACGGCCCCATGCAACTGGCAAGTGATAAATAGAAGACAGACCTCTGGAGGTAATTGGGGACGATGACTGCTGGAGTCCTTCGGTAGCAGCTATATATGGCTTCCCTGCAGTCCATAGTCTGCCCGAATGCGATTAGTTTGTACCCAGCACGAATTTTCCGATTGTCTGAGGCCTTTCAAACACATTCTCTGGGTAACGTCACGGACGATGTTGTGACTACAAGGGAGTCGATGGGTGTTGCTACTGCGAACAGCCGCATTGCCGTTAGTCAACATTTTATGCGCTCTTTTCGTGTGATTTCCACTAGGAGGGGCCTTTTCCCTCGGGTTTTGCACCACAAAAGATTGTGAAATAAGCTCTAAACCCGCCTTATACACTGTCGCGGGCTGATTTTGATCGCATAGTCTCTCTGTCATCCACGTTGATCTAACTGCCGCGCTACTTAAACGACGTATGCAATCCCGGTAGATTGCATATTGCTATTGATTTTCGATGCTCTTGCAAATTCAAATATATTTTAGGGAAACCACAAACAAAATTAGGCTGTCTTTTAGTCTTTTGACAGATAATCACGACATCTTTATATTTCCCACCCGAAGATGGAGTATAATTAGGTTTTAAAAAGTATATTATTATGAGATTTTTCAAGACCGCGCAAGGTTCATTCACATAACATCTAACCTGTCGGTGTATCACTGCTCGTCATGAAATGTACAACATAGTCTGCATCCATTGCAAAATTCTGTGGACTCTATACGATATCTTTCTAAAGGCATGTAAGAATATGTGATTTTCTGTACGCAGAATGTATGCAACTTGTAGACTAAAACCACTAAGAGCTAATACAACCACTGATCATCCTCCAAATTATTCGGCAATCATAAAAACTTTTTTTAACACCTAGTTATACTCCTTCCTAGGGTGTAAAATATAAGGATGACATGATTCTCTATCAAACGACTAAAAGAAAGCTTATTTTTGTTTGTGGTTTCTCCAAAATATATTTGAATGTGTACGACCATCGAACATCAATAGTAAAAATGCATGCTACTTAAGTAATCATTTTTTGCCGAGTACGCTTCCCACAGGGGATTGAAATGCGGTTTATTCAAAAGCTGACACCCTGCCAAGTCCGAAATATTATAGAATTATACTGCCAGATAATCGGTATTACAGCTGCGCCCAAGTAATACTTTCTAATCCAAAACGCATTTCAGAATTTCAGGCAACAGTTCGTGAGATCGGTCACGCACTGTATAAATGTTTATATAATAGTAGGGGGTACTCACCGATTTTTCTTACGGAACTCACTCGTTCCGTTAAGCCTTACGGGCTCTCCCTCTCTTGAGCCCAACCAGCAGCCGCACAGCGGCGCATGATATAGGCAGTATGATATTACCGACAAATACAAGGGAGACTGGAATGGTCATTTCTGGCTTACTAGCCGTCGTCAGGTAGTCTTCCCCAAGCCCGAAGTGTGGAACACCCGAGGCTCGAACTCGCGACCTGTTAGGTAGTAGTCAACTCCTCCAACCATTGGGCCACGATCCCGTTGCCCTGTCGGTTTTAATCGTGAATATACAATGGTGGAGGAACGCTCACCGATCGTTCTTACGGAACTCACTCGTTCCGGGCTCCCTCTCTCCAGTCCAACCAGCAGCCACTCAGCGGCACATGATAAAGGCGGTATGGTATTATATGTATGTTATGCTATGGTTTGTATATATATATGCAAAGGTTGAGAAGCATTCATTGGTCGCGTTACGGAACTCACTCGTCCCATTATGCCATGGGGCTGAAAGGCCGACCAACAAGGACAAGCGAGACTGGAATGCCCATTTCTGGTTTATTATTCGTCATCGGCCTGCCATACCTAATCTCAGATTTGCAACTCTTGAGGTTCGAACGCGTGTTCTTTTGGTCGGAGGACCAGCGCTCTAACCATTGAGTCTGCAACTCGTTGCCTTGTCGGTTGCGGTAGGGTAGTTTAACTATGATACCTCAGAAATTGCAGAGTCTGTGATTGGGTATGGCTGGCTGATGACGGCTAATAAGTCGGAAATGACCATTCCAGTCCCCTTTGTCTTTGCCAGTGATCTACTTCTACATATACTACTGATCACTGTATGACTGCCTGCGGCGCTCTAGTCCGAGCATAACGAAACTAGTATGTCCAGCAGCCCGATAGGCGAACGCACTTCCAACATATATATGGGGATTTTAGTCAGCAATTTTCGTGACTCGATGCTGTGGTTGGCACCACTGTGGGTTCATCGCTTTATTTGTGTATGGAGTTTCCGCTGCCTAAGTGCTGACCCTTCGTCACCTTTTTTGCGGTGAAGTTGACAACATGTTTGCGTCCTCTTTGACCAGCTGCCTCGCATCTGCCGGACTTGCATTGACACGTTCACTAGTTATTAAGACAAGTGTCAAACTCTAGATCCTTCCCCTTTTACTAAACGCCTACACCGAATTTCTCCTCTCGCACCATGTATCTGGGCTGACCTTTGCACTGCAGGGAAATCCCATCTGTCGACAAATTCCATGGGTGCGCAATGAAGAGCTGTTGACAGCCTGGGCGGAGGCTCGCACCGGTTTCCCCTTTATTGACGCCGCCATGACACAGCTCCACCGTCACGGGTGGATGCATCATCTGGCCCGACATGCTGTTGCCTGCTTCCTCACTCGCGGCCAACTGTGGCAGTCATGGACGGACGGTGCGGCCGTGTTTCAGCGTCTCCTTTTGGACGCCGATTGGGCACTGAATAGTGCCAATTGGATGTGGTTGTCCGCCAGTGCATTCTTCCATCAGTATTTTCGCGTCTATTGTCCAGTGGGCTTCGGCCGCAAAACGGATCCTGAGGGCAAGTAAGTTAAACGGGCTCTCCTCTGAGACATCTTCAATACGTTTAAAGCACGCATACCATTTCTACTAACCATTTTATAAGTAACCATTGTAATTAAGCATCCATTTTATGTATTATGACAGAAATCCGACTAACCCAGGGTACCTTGGGCGTTGGACATTTTACCCACCAGCCTGAAACACAGCAGTGAGGCCAACAGGCAATCTTTTTTGTTATACCACGCTAATAATTTGCTAGCAATTGCAAATATTCCAAAAGTAGTCGCGATAGAGTCCGCCAAAAAATAGCAACCCCACTTTCTGATTTGCATGATATGATGCTCATTGCGCAACTAAATTCGGCTAGTAAACAACTCGGAAACGGAAGGGATAACACGTTAGTAAGGCGAAAAAATCTACTCTTTAAGTAGCTAATATGTAAAACACTTATATTTATGAAATAAGACCCGGCCCTCGAAAAAACCGCAACGGAAAGAATTTTTCTCGGCTAGGGCTGGAGAATCGTCAGTGTCGGTATTTTCTTTCTCTTTGATATTTCTCTGAAAAAAAACATATGAAGAGCATGGCTATCTTTCCGCGGAATGTGCCAATCGAGTATTTCTATAACGAACACCTTACTGCAGGTCTTTTACTTGATCAACAATATGCTCATCGCAGGTATTCATCGTGGATTCTCATTTTCTTAGTCGACGAGGTCTCATGCGTAGGTGAGCCTATAATTATGACCAATACTTTCATCTATAGAAGAGGGCACGTCAGAGGGGTCATAATATAAGTATAGCCTCCCAAAGCTGACTTATTTTTAAAGGTTTAACAAATGTAACCTGCAGAAACTGTCTGTTCAGACATTTGACTAAGAACGCTGAAAAATGTTAAGTATTCCCTCGCGTTTTAAGGACGCCCTGAGGCCCTTCGCACTGCGCCGTCATCAGAAAGCCCACACCGATCCTATAGAAGAATAATTGCCCTCGTCGTATTCCAGTGACCTCTGGTCACGTGACCCTATTACGGCCTGAATTCCCGCTGTGTCCCTGACCATGGGATTAGTCAACATTACTACCGTCGTAGTTAACTGCATCTTGACCAAGTACAAAAGCGGAAAAATGGCATCAAGTTTTTCTAACATCATTGCAAACAATCGACGGACTGTCATGCTGCATATTAAATTAACTGCTGCAGCATATTCAAACTAATACCTACCTAAGCGAGTGTTATTTCTTGTCAACATAATTTTTTTAATATTTCTATTGTGTTTTCGCGTAGCAGAAGACCGTCATTTTTTGGATGCATTATAGGCCCGTTTTTGCCGTTATTAGTTATTTTCCTAGAGTTTTCACATATTTTCCAAGTTGAACCGTCACCTGTTCTATCCATTCGTTTTTGGGCGTCTTTGTTTCAGCTTCATCAGACACTTTCTGCCCTGTTTGAAAAACATGCCTAAGCAGTACATATATGAGCCCTGGAACGCCCCACTGGCAGTGCAAAAGAAAGCTGGTTGTGTCATCGGTGTGGACTATCCGGCACGGATTGTTGATCACCAGGAAATGAGAGCCGCTAATCTTGTCAAGATGAAGGCCGCTTACGATGCCTGTCGAACACCTGCGCACAATCCATCCAAAAGGGGAACTGACATCTCTCCCACGAAGCCCGTACAACTTGGGAGTGGCAAACTCTCGGGAAACAAGCGGAAGAAATTGTAGATCTTGTGGATGCTGACAGCTCATTTCAGGATACCACTCAGGGACCCTTACTACCTTTTTTTCTAACTGAGCTTCTCGTTTTCAGAGCATTTTATGTCTGTCCCTGCTTGTTATTTTTTAAATGAAGAAGAAATGAACTTGTTGTTGTTGTTCTTTTGATGGTATTGGTGTTGGTGGCAGTAGTAGTAGTAGTAGTAGTAGTAGTAGTAGTAGTAGTAGTAGTAGTAGTAGTAGTAGTAGTAGTAGTAGTAGTAGTAGTAGTATTAACCTTAAGGATTGTGAGCGTCCTCTGTGCCACGATCAGCAAACCATGGCCCTCGCAGCCTGATGTAAGCTGGCTCTATGGCACGTGGTTCCCTGCCGGCAGATGCGCTTGCGTCCCCGCTGGGTTTACAGTTTGTGAACATGGCTGTTCAGTCGTCATTTTGACCCGTTGTGTTGCTCTTGTAGTTGGTTAAAATCCTGGTCAAGGGATTGTTGTGTACCAAGGAGGATGTGGTGGTACGTCTAAGTGCAGATCCGGCTGCGCCAGCCACCTACGCCCTTCCTCACTCGGTCGAATTCATTACACCCCGCACGGTCGACACGCCTGAAATATGTAACTTAATAAAAGCACGCCTACTGATAGGAAGCAAGTACGTCAACAATGTTGACTCATAATCCCAGGCTACACGGAATTGTCTCGTCTCGGTCTTGTTGACTTTGTCCTGATGCCGGGTCCAGGCGAGGAAGAGGAAGAAGTGCGACAGACGCTGCACAAGTCTGCTGCCACTACAAACTAATTCACGCGAAAGTTACCGTGCCTGCCTCCCCTTGGTGTGGAGCACACAGTAGACATGGTCGCTTGCAACGGTCAAACTGTCAGTAGTAGTAGTAGTTGTAGTGGCGTTAGTAGTAGCGGCGTCGTAGTAGTAGTCAGTATGTTATTACCGACAAAGACAAGGGAGACGTGGATGACCATTTCTGGCTTATAAAGCGTCGTCAGCCAGTCATACCCAAACCCTAAGTGTGGAACTCCCGAGGCTCGAACTCGCGACCTGTTATTTAGAAGTCCACTCCTCTAACCACTAGGCCACGAGCCCTTTGTCCTGTCGGTTTTCGGTCGGAAATATAAAATGGTAGGGGACGCTCACCGATCGTTCTTACGGAAATCACTCCTTCCGTTGTGCCTTACGGGCTTTCTTTCTCTCTCTGGAGCCCAACGAGCAGCCGCACAGCGGCGCATGATATAGGCAGAATGGCATTACCGACAAAGACAAGGGAGACTGGAGTGGTCATTTCCGGCTTATTAGCCGTCGTCAACCAGCCGTACCCAACCCCGTAGTGTGGAACACTCGATGCTCGAAGAACCGGTCGTTAGCGACCTGGACTTCTAACTAACAGGTCGCGAGTTCGAGCCTCGGGTGTTCCACACTTCGGGGTTGGGTATGACTGGCTGACGACGCCTAATAAGCCAGAAATGTCTATTCCTGTCTCCCTTGTCTTTGTCGGGTAATAACATACTGCCTATATCATGCGCTGCTGTGCGGCCGCTGGTTGGGCTCGAGAGAGAGAGAGCCCGTGAGGCAGAACGGAACGAGTGAGTTCCGTAAGAACGATCGGTGAGCGCCCTCAACCACAAGTAGTAGTAGTAGCAGTAGTCATGGTGTTAATAGAAATGGTGGTAGTAGCAATAGTAGTAGTAGTAGTACTGAAAGCAGCAGTAGTAGTACTCATGGTGGTAGCGGTATTCGTAGTAGTAGTGACGATACTACTACTATTGCCGCTAATGTTTGTAGTACTAGTCGCAGTTGCATCTTTCTGTTCCTCCTGTAGTCAGTTGCGGACGGTACACAGGTGCGAAGCTTGATCGTGAGCGATCGTTTTGCTTAGAAATGGTAATGTGTAGACAGGTGGTTGAGAGAGAGAAGAAAGGCGAGTTCCGGCGGTAATCTCCCTATTCCGGCAGCTGCAGCTACTCAATGCCCAACGCTCTAAAACGCATCTTATTTATTCTGCTCTTACCGGCCCTGAAACCCTAGGCTCCTACGTGCTGATCTCAGATTGTCTGTTTCATGCGCGAGAACGCCCTCCTCGAAGTCACGAATGTTCGATCGACCTTTGAGCGAAGGCATCAGCGCGCAGCGACCGCTTAGTTGATTTTACGCGTACGTTTCGTAGTCACCCTGGACCGTTGTGCCACCCATATTCGCGTTATCCTTTCACTTTAGGCCGGGACCCTGTTTTTTCGTTCTTTATGAGAAAAATCTCCGATAGATAATGAATCTGGATCTAATCTCACGTGTCTAATCTGGTCTTCATGTCTCACTGGTTGATAACGGCAGATGAGCCTGGATTTACCATTTCAATGTCTATTATCTTTGTCGGCAACAACTGTGCAAGCGCTGAAATCGCCCGTACATATCCACACTTTCATATTTTGCATAGTAAGAAGGTTTTGTTCCCTACGAATACCCTGTTGGATCAGGTTTGCGAAAGCCAAAGTTCTGGCGTGGCATTCTGCGAAAGAAAAGTTTCACTTGAAATCAGATTTTTCATGTTAATCACATTCAGGATATTTTGATCCACTTTGCATTTTCGAGAAGTTGAATGCCAATAATAGAGCAGAATGTTAAATAACTGTCCGAGTTAATCGACCCTGGACTGATCAGTTTTTTCTCTTTCACTGCCTTAGCTAGCAGAAATACTACTGACTGTGTTTACGCGATTTTGATCACTGCGATAGGACAGACTGCACACTTTAGGTGGGAGCGACTTTACTCACAAAAATGCTTTATCCCTCCCCTGACTTCATTAATGATGACGTTGTTGCCTCGTAAAGCCGTAAAAATCCCAAACTGATGTTTTATGATGTCAATTTGACCGTTAATAGCCGAGCCTGCCGCATATTAATCCACGTCATAGCACTGAAACTGTTGAAAACCTACACAGCCGGGCTGACATCCGCGTCATTGTTGAGTCCCCAAGTTCCCGGGCCCCAAGGAAAATAGTCAATCTGCGACCACAATCACGGAGAGTTGCCAGCATATTCTAAATACAGCAAAGGAATGTCTACTGCACGGCATAAATCGTAGTGTCCTGCTGTGTATCCGCTTGCCATCGAAGCGAGTGACCCCTATGATCGTTAGAGCAGAAACTCTGCCCCGGGGAAAGTTGACGCGCAGCGTCATTTCGACGTGGCTTCATGTGCAGCATTATCCAATAAAAAAGATTCCACCTGCTCATGAGCTTCCAAGTGTCGACATTGTCATCCATGTGGTCAGGAGGACTTTCGCAGTGACTTTCATGGGTGAGGTGATGGCCTATCAGGTGCTTGTTCAGAGAGTATGTCCAGTAAGCAAACAGGTTGCCATTATCACATCTAAAATTGAGAATGAGTTCCAAACTACGGGAATTAGTGGCTATCCCACAAAAGTGCACTTTTACGAGCACGAGTCATGGAAAGAAGCTGTAGCTGAAGCGGAATTTTGAGACCTGTGATAGGTGATCACCACCTCGCGTGAATAAATGCATTGAGAATTCCCGCCTGTGTTCATCGACTGTCGCTGCAGCTTAATAGCCAGATCCCATTCCACAGCCAAACGACAATAGGTGGGTTAACTCATAAAAATTTGACCGAAATCCGAAATTCTCTTTCGTTTCAAAAAGATTAATTAAGTTGGGTTGTAAAAGTAGTCAACCTGCAACATAATTCTATAATATTTCAGTTACCTCAGGATGCCGGTTTTCGAGTAAACTTCCTTCTGGCTGCATGCAAAAACTACACTATGTAAGAAATGACTACATAAGTAGCCCGAATCTTTCCCGTTGATTTTCGATGTCCCAAAATGTCTAATTGTATTTCACGGAAAACATACATGAAAATATTCATTCTTCCGCTCATTCGGTAGAAGGGTATTTTTCGGTTTTTGAAAACTTTTCCAATCCCCAAATAAATTTGAACCCGCTCAACCGTTGCACTTGGATTCAGGGTTTCCAAACTACAAGCCGTATATTTTCCGCGTACGGAAAACCACACATTTCTCTAAGGTAATAAAGGGGGACTATATAGAGTTCATACAATTTAGCAGTGGATTTGACCCATATTGTTAACTTAACAAGCCACATTGGTAAATACAGAGACATGACGAATTAAGAACGGCCATTTCACGGTATTTAAAAGTCCTACAATTAGAAACTTTTTGAGAAATCGAATTATGTCCCTATTTCGAATAAAATATTAGAAGATGGGATTTTCAACCGAAAAAGTAAATGAATGAATACTTCTGTGCATGATTTCCATGAAATACAATTTGACATTTAGGGGCATTAAAAACCAGTGAGAAAATTCATGCTACTTAAGTAGCCAGTTTTTACAGATTGTAGTTCTTGCATGTAGCCGGAAGGAAGTTCAGTCGACAACCGGCATCCAGTGGTAACTGAAATATCATAGACTTATGTTGCAGGCTGACTAATTTTACGGCCCTACTTAATTAATCTTTTTAAAAGGAAAACTCATTTCGGAACTTCGGTTGACATTTCATGAGTTAGCCCACCTACTGTACGTTATAAAATGCTGACCGAAATTCTGTAATGCGTTTTCTGTCCGAAAAGATTACTTAACTAGGGTTGTAGTATTAAACACCATGCAGCATAGGTCAGTCACGTCAGGATGTGGGCATTTCAACGAGCATCTTTCGAACCCTCAGCAAAAATTGCATCCTACAAAAATGTCTACTTGTGTAGTGCGAATTTGTTCCCTTGATTCTCGACGCACTTATGGATAAGGTAAACTTTAAAGAACAATTGCACGAAATATTGTTCGGATGTGGTTTGGTAGCCCCACCTGAAGTAAGAAAACCCCAGTCACCTCTAATATGGGCCCGGTAGTAATAGGGGTTTGACTGGTGGAGCCGGGAAACGCGCAGGCGACGGGGCCAAGTAGTTGTATGCGAAAGAAAAGCTATTGGGATTGCGTGGTTGTACTTTCAATGATTGAGAAATGGTTGCGCTAACTCCTA